CGAGATTTACTCACTTAGATACAAAATACTATATATTCTGGTCGAATGGGTAATCCAGGTAAGCCAGGGGTTAAATAGTTCAATAGATTCTTAAAAAATTATGATTTAATTCCTAAATACTTACGTAAATTGGGAGCAGTTTATGATGCAGTAGTACATGCTAAAAATCTAGCACATTTTATGACAATAGCTGGAGAGTATTTACATCACTCATCTGATAACCATACTTCTCCTATACAAAATTATGTTGTAGTGAATTATCGGAGAAAAAATCAATCTCCAGAGCAAGCAAGATCATTTCAAATCTATGATACAGATTAATAAATTAGTAATTAAACAAATCAATCTTTATTGTGTATTGTTGCATTTACATATTCCCAACGATACCCCCTAGCTTGAGATATAATACCTTGACATACCATACCAATATTTTGACTTTTAATTCCAGTTGCATGCTCTGCCTCTTTTAATGAAAGAAATTCTTGAGTAACTCCATTATCAGAAATTTGCTTAACTGTACGTTTGTAACCCTTCCAAAGTTCAAGATGTACAGTGTGTTGCATATTTTCTTTTTGTGTGTATCATTCAAGATTCGAAACTTTATTATTAGTGAGGTCTCCATCGATGTGATTTACATAATTTTTACCTTGTTCTCTTGGGCAAAAAGCTAATGCTACTAAATGGTGAACTTGATAATTTAGATATCTTCTACCAACCTAAAGATATCTCACACTTAATGAGCCTTGTGTGATCATATCATTTAATAATTTGACTCTGCCTAAAGATGATACTTTAAATTTTTGCGAATTAACTTCTACTTCTCTCCATTCTTTATTGGAATCAGAATATATATAATCATCATAATAGATCCAAGTCCACCCACTTACAGTATTTCATTTCCCTCTACAACATGTGGTAATATTTCTACTGCTAATATTAAGTGTAATACCTGCGAGTTTTGCTGAATCTCAAATCTGAATAATATTTTCATCTAATGCTTTTTGTACAATTTTTCAGGATCTTCCATACCCATGGTTTGGAAATACTTTGCGATTACTATTCTCTTTAGGAGTTACCTACTCTAGATTATCTACTTGATTATCAGTCTTAATTCCATTAATATGATTAACAAAAGATTATTTTTCTGGATTAGGAATAAATATTTGCACAACTAGTCTATGGGTATAAGATTTGATACTAACTCTGTTGATATTAATATTTGATCATATATAACCATGTCCTTTCAAAACACTTCCTTCTGAAATTCTACCATTTTTATTTTTGACACACCCAAGATTAGAAATAAAGTAATCCAAATTTGCTATAGGTAACCAAACCTCCATTTCAATGTTTACTGTATCCCATTATTTTATTTTCAAATTCAGATTATGCTTCATGGAATCATTACCTATATCAAAAAAAAAGGACAGACTCCAGAGCAAGCAAGACCATTCCATCTCTATGATTATGATAACTAATTACGCTTCTTTACTTTTACCACATCCACAGTAAAATCTTCATCATCATTAGATGATTCAGACTAGAGATGGGAGCCGCAACTAGCCACAACTCTGTCACAATTCTCTGATTGGCTGCTGCAACTCTGTCGTAATTCTCTGATTGACTGCTGCAAGCCGCAATTAATTAAGGAGCCATCTTTAATTCAGACCCAGATGAGGACTCAGATGCTGTATCATTAAAAATTAGTTTTTTTCTATCTTTGCATTTTCTTTTAGCCTCAGATGGTATATGATTTCTTCGAGAAATATTCGGGTTCGCTATTAAGTCAATAATTTCTAACCCAATCTTGAATTTCACTATTTTTAATAATTGGTGAAGAGAAATCAAAATTATTCTATGTGATATCTGTTTAACAATTTTAGATACTAGTTTTGAGCTATTATTGCCAGAGGCAACTATTTCACAGCTATTGTTAACCATTGGATTTTAATTGATTTATTATTAATACACAGAAAAAAATATATTTAATTATATTATTATAATAAAACATGATGATAATTTTATCTTGCGAAATTAACAAAGAAGTAATGAAAAAACTTAATCCAAAAATTAAAATCGAATATACTGATTATTCAGATAAAAAATAGACCAATTCTGATCTACCTCTATCTATTTCAATGTTTACTGGTACATTATTAGATGAAACAGATTTTATTTCTGTGTTCAGTAATTGTATCAGAGAGATTGGCAGGATTAATCCTAATCATTCATGATTTACAAATAATTTTACTTAATGTCGAAGAATAGAGTGAGTAATCAGGGTATTTGACAGTCTTCAGCTAATTTCAAATAAAGAATTTTTATTTGCTGTGACGTATATATATCTGTGATAATTTTCCTTGTTTTACTTTTGATTCTAGACATGGGTACTGATTGGCACTAGCTGATTTTTTGACAAAAATTTCATGCAATTGTTGAGAAGAGACATTTGGAAATAATGGTAATCCCTTACCAGTAAACCAAAATTTTTTATCTCATTATTGATGAATTTCTGTATTAACACAGTTGGAACATTTTCTAAGGGATCATGAAATTCTTCAAACTTTCAGAGATACACTCTCATATTTTTATCGACTTCTTCTGCCATTTCTTGATTAGTATAACTGACAATACCAAGTTCTTCCTAAATTGATGCTATATCATCTTCTAAGCATAAAAGCAAATCAAATAATCTAATTGGTTTATCTGAAGAGGCTTTATCCCTTCTAAGTTCTGCTTCTAAAATGGGATTGATATCTTTACCAAGTTTCCCCTGTATAAGTATTAAATCCCTCACCAATTCTAACAGCAATTCATATGAATTGGCAAGTTCTTTCGCTATCTCACTCTCTGACACTGCCATTTGATTTATATTACTATTAATACCAAGTTTTTTCTGAATAGCTGTTATATCTTTTTTCTTATATAAAAGCACCTCATATAATTGAGGAAATTTTTCACTTGGATCAGTATTATTATTCATCATGATTGTTATAATATGGTAATATAATTAATACGCATAAATATATAAATTAAGTAAATAAGCAAATTCAATCTGAAAATAATTATAATCACATCGTAACTTCAAAATCACATGACGTTATATATACAAGATATAGTGATATGAAAAATGAATGTAATTAAAAATCTGTTAGATACATATTTATTACTAACTCTACGCCATGAAAACGTTATTTCCTATACTGTGCTGGTAGTCCTTGCCTCACCGATTTTAGATCTTTAATAATGAGCATATATTAACGAAGCAAGCACAGGTATTAATACAATATATTTTATCATAATAGATACTTCACGCCAATAATATATACCCTTACCAAGATAACTCTGCCAATAATTTTTCAATTTTGAGGAATTCTGAGAAGCTAATTTAGGAGAGGAGTATTTCTGTAGTTTCTTGTCATGTTTTTTAACGCCATTCTCAATTGAGTGAGTGTTGTCTAAATCTCTATCATCAAAAAGAGAACCAAATAATCACTTTTATTTGATTACAGTATCATGAATGTAAAAGATAATACTATGGCAAACCCCGGTTATTATTAAAAGGTTCCCATGGATTAAAAGATGCGATCTAAAAGCAATTACCTGTCCTTGCTTAGCATTAATGACTAACTTTAACTCAGGAAAAGTTAATTTTCCACCTTCGAATATCTCTAGAGGACAGATGACACAAAGTGTATTTCAGTAATCTTTTAAATCTTGATGGAATTGACAGATAGTATTGAAGTTGATGGATAAACTGGGGAAGGCACCAAAGGATCTAGGAACATTGGGTCCAAGATTGAGTTTCCTCATTTTGGCGTATAGGATTGGGTATGTTTTATCAAAATAGTCATTAATTGCATTGAAGATGGGTTAAAGTCCTTTTATTAATTCTCAGACACACATTTGATGTTCCTTGCAATAGGTAGAAGCAGTGTTTATGGTAGTATATGGCTCGTTATTGCTGTCAGTAAAACTGCCAAAATATTCTATTAGGTCCTTTGAAAATTATTTGAATTGATGTGATAGATGGTTAAGATTATGGTTATAATACTGATCAACTGCTATTCGCGCAGATTTTGCAACTGAGAAGTCTGCCAGATCAAAAAATCGATTATCATCTCTCCAAAAGTATTTTTAAAGTATTGCGGTTCTCGAATATATTTATACCCATTGAGGTGAATACTACCCACTATCTTTTTCGTCATTTCTTTAGCAATAAAAAGCTTGTCTTTCGGATATTATAGCAGGGTTTCTGGGATAACATCTAACTCTATACTAATTTTATAGGCTTCATACTATTGATATGTATGTGATACTTTACGCTAAAGATGACGGTAATGATCGTGGAATTTTTTATAAAATCTATTATCAGAAGTTGAGAAGCAAGCCCATGATGCAAATTCTTTCCACAACTGCAGATTTGCTAGATTTGGATGGTTATTGTAATACGCCAAATTTCTAACTCCTAATTCAATAATATTAGATTCATCTTTAGTTTTACCAAAAATCTCGGATTGTAATAAATACAGGAATTTTGTTGGTACTTTGGAAGCAGTTGGAATTACTTGAACAGTTTGTGGTGGTAAGGATTTGCTAGAATCTGAATTTCTACTTGTGTAGTTTTTATACAATTCATTACAAGTAACATCCACTATAATTTCCAAATCATGATTCGAAAGAGTATCTAAGTTAAGTGTGAAGATATCAGCTTTTATGGTACTGGGAGAAAGTAGCTCATGATTTAATAATATCTTAATAATTCGTCTTTGCTGTCTTTTTATCATAAGCTTCTCAAGAAAGGTAAACTCCATATTCACAATAGTGATAGTTTTTGAAGAATTAATCAACTTAAGATCTCTGGTAAGAAAATCTTCCAAGAACCACTGAGATTCGATATATTATCAGGATTGGCTCTTAGTAGATAAACATGTTTCGAGTTGAATTTTATGCTAAAAAAATGAAATGTTATATAAATAATTAGCTTGACTAGTCAAGTTTTGAAGAAATAACGGTTATTTTTTAGCATAAATGTAATAAAAAAATAGATTTTCTTGATAGATACTTGTAGTGTATCTCAGCGATTCTCAATACACAAACATACTCTGAGAATCATGAAAGTCTATTGAAACTTCTACGCCTCACATACGACTACCAATCATACCCAAGAAGATATCAAAAGGTTAGAAAAAAATATATGCTCAAAGAGCGCTCTATAGGGCCTGAAAAAAATGCAAGAAATATGAAGTGAAGCTTTTTTGCACTTAAAGAGGAAATAGTTGGATCCTAGACCTGTCTCGAAAGGCGATAACTACCCCTAATCTTCACTTCATATATGTCGAACTATAAAAATATCCTAACTGCTAAATATAACCTATATAATCTCAACTTACTTTTTTTGGATTGTAGAATAAATCCAGTCTTTCATCGTCTTGACCATTGTTAGAATTAGGTATGGTATCTTTGTCATTGTCAGGGTTGGGTATGGTGAGTTCTTCATCAATTAACTGGTTAGTAGATCCCTCAAGCCTTACCTTCTTTATGCGTCATTACTCCTTCCTTTGTAAATTCCATTTTGTGAATTTCGATAACACCACATCTATTACTTACTTAATTTCCTATGGCAGATTGAAAAAAATAACACTACTCGACGAGTCATCTCACGAAGTAAGAAGCCAATATCCTACTCACTTGCAAAGCAAGGGCACTTACATGTCAGATGAATAGCATATACTTTTGTGAAAAGAACGTGAGAATATAATCAATAAGGGTATGTATATGACAGTTACCCAATAACCTCCTGCTAATTTCTGATGTGATCCATCCAATCAGAATAATTAAAAAACTGGAAAATTATTAACCAATCAGACCACGTCAGAATTAACATAGAAGTTCATAAAATATACATAGCTGAGTGATAGAAAGATAGCTGGTTTATTGATAATACGTCATTCTATATCTAGATTGTTACATAATCTATTTTGGATATTAAATCTATTTCAGGATGTATTATTGTGGAGCAATGAGGTTTCATCTCTACAAGCATATGATTTAATTTTCCAACATGTGATGGACTTGGCACTTGATCATGTACCTGATAAATAATGCGTAATGATTATCTAAAAAATTTAACCGGAGACTGGTGAATGCCTAATCACATATATTACACAAAGTATATAATAATCCAGTCATCAGAGCTATCTTTATTAGGATAAATACAAGATATAAAAAATACATATAATGAAGTCTAGTTATTGTCTCATGGAGTGGAAACTGTAGTACTATCTTCTATTTGCCTTTGCGATGTGGCAGTAGGTGCGTAATATAGTAAAGATAAATTAGTAATTATTATATTACATAAAAGTAATAAAGTTTCTATAAATTTAGTTACAATGGCTTTATCCGAAAATTATATAGGAATCTTAGCAGATTGTAAATGGTAATATCAGTGAACATTAACCATATCTTGTACTAGAAGATTCAAGTGCAATACATTACCTGCTACTTGCATATCTATAATATCAAACTGATCCTTATCCGGTTTAAGACTTTGGTGTATCTAATATAGTCCATCATTAGTTTCTCACCATAACTTAATCTCATCATCGGTCTTTTTTTGTGAACTAGAAATTAAATGAGAACATTCTATGTACATGAGTTCAAAAACTGTCTCCAAGTATTTCACTACAAGCATAATATCTGAACATCTTCCCATGTAACCTTCTCCCTTTCTATTAGTACTTGCAATACTTTGCTTTTCTGACATGCTAATAAAAAAAGCATCTCCGATGGGGAGATTTTTCAATGAAGCTTGAATAACAGGTACAATGACAGTTAATTGGTATGTCCCCTCATTTAATATCTTTGCGAGTTCAGGATCAAATGCTAAGTTATTCTAAATATCTTTCAAAATATTAAGAATTTCTTTGATCACGCATTTAATATCTTCTTTCAATTCTTTTCAAGCCCCATCATGTATTAATTTGGCTGATTTCGTTTTAATTTCACACCTCTTAAAATTTAGTACAAATTCTCTACATATTTCTTGAACTATTGGCATGGATGTGGGCATTATTTTATGAATAAGTTTCTAATGTAAATAATAAATGTTATTAATAGTGTTAATAAAGGTAACGTGATCAAATATACATATAATTCTTTATCATAAACCCTTTTCTTAAATTTTCCGGTAATTCATTTATGAGCTTTAATTCGTTGCTGATGACTTGACTAGTCATAGGATCTTTCCAAGACAACGCCTCAATAAATATTGCTCTTACATCAGAATATAAATGTTGATATAGAGGGGTCGTATTTCTTTTGAGTTTTCTTTGAAGCTCAATCATATTGTTTCTGATTTGGTCCAAGCTAAGAGGTTTTTCTTTATTTGTTTTAACAACCTCAAGATCATACAATGTGGAGACCCCCTCAAAAGCATCTTCAAACTAAAAAATAAATATACATTAGTTTTCAGTAATAAAAAAAACTCATCATTAAAAAAATATATATATTATCAGTACATATGCAAAGTTTTTATTTTTGTGCGGCCATCATGCTAATGAAATCTTGTATATTACTAATTTTCTACATAACAATATAACCTCATTATCCTCCGTACAGATGATAAATTTTTCTCATCAATAGATTAGTAGGATAAACTATATTATTGCATAACAGTCTATAGCTTAGATATCCCTCTATTATTGAGCAAGTATTTATCAGGAGCAGATTAATAAGATAATTGAGCTACTTTTTAGTATGTGAATCTAATAGCCGACCACATAATATCATCATATAATAAAATGATTTTGTAAAAAAAAAATCAATAGCTAACCTGTGAATGAATTCTAAAAAGCTTTCGTTAACGCAAAGACCCATCTGGACACAAATTACTAAGATAACCAATAACTTGGTTTACAATCATTCTTAACTCATTTTGCGAAATCCAGAGATTTTCTTCTAAATCTTGATAAATAACGGACATGACATTTATATGACACTCTTCGGCATTGATCAAAAAATTATGAATTTTGATTTGTAAATCAGCAGACATATTGATTAATCAAGTTCGAAGTAATAAAAGCTTTATTATATCGCAAGTAAAAAAATAAATGAACAACCACAACGCAAATATATTATCCTTTTAAAGTGCTCCCTCCACTTATTTCTGATCTCATTTAGGTATGAGAATAGTAGATTCAGGAAATGTGGAACTGGAGCGATACAAGTCCATGGGCATTTACTATATAAATATACATAACAAAAAAACTTTTCACAAAGAAATTGCATATATCACAAGTTAATCAATCAGATTAGAACAATTAGCAGGTCACATGATTATATTATGCATAAAAAGTTCCACAATTTTCGATTTTATTCTATGGTATATGCTGATCAAACATCTGTATTACGCAATCAATTTTTCAGCCATGTGATTTTATTCAGAAATTTGGTCATAGTAACAATCAGGGGTGCACTCTTACATCATGCATGCAGAATTTCCATGATCTAATTTATTCTGTGATAAATATATTATGAAGTAATGACACTTACATACCTGATCGAATATCCATATTATGCAATTAATTTTTCAAGCCTGTCTATATGCAAAAGCAATCACCTAAGATTGATCCCTCAGAGCTCAACATCACATGTATTACTATATTGGTTAGAAAAAATCTTACACGAATATTTATTGGTTATTTATCAGACTTCTAAATAAATATGTATACATTCTCTAATTCACATCCCATATGTGTATGTAAAAAATAAAAATAATTAATCAATCTCCATATCTGTATTATATTCTGATTCCTCACCCTCATTTGTCTGTTTTTCACTATGCGATGTGAGAATCTTTTTACTCCTTTCTTTAATAATTTTAATTTCATTATCAGTAAATTTTCCAATGGATGAGAGGGTGAAGGATCTAATTTGTTGTATCTTATCTCTGCCTATATCTTCACTACTAAAAATCCTGTAAATATTTAGAGCTGAATGTTTTTTCTTATTAAAGATATTACGAGTAGTATCGGATAGAAACTGATATCTAATTTCCTTATTAAGCATAATCTGGGCAGAACAGAGTGGATTTTTAGATTTTAACTCTGCTAACTTATCCTCCAATGCTTTTCCAAGAAGGTAATATGAGTCAAGAATTTCATATTTTGTATGAGTCATCTCACGTGTTTATTTTTCAAGATTCTTCTCACCTTTAAGAATTTTGTCATGTATTTTAGGGAAATCTATTTGTGGAGTTGAGGAATTCTCTACCTTCTCATTTTCTGGATCAGATAATTGAGTAAATACTATTAGCCAAAGAGATAATTCTTTGAGAAATTTTTCCACTTTAAAGTTTTTTTCTTGTGGGTGTAAGATATCATCATCATCATTATCAGAATAGATAGATCAACAACAGCAGGAACAATCTGGATTTTCCTTTAGGAAGTTGACAATACATTTAAGATGGAAGATATGAACACAGATTAATTTCGTAATTGGTTTTAAGTTGGCTCCATTGGGTTTGTATAATGAAACAGAATTATTGCATAAAGAGCATGTTTCAGGAGGTGTTTGCAGGGTTGTTGATCCAGTGGCTTTGGCGATATTACCATTATCCAGTGAATTAAGCATGTCCGTATATTAAGATCCAAATATTTCTTCTTCAAGAGTAATTGGTATATACTGCATTTGCGAAATGGTGAGGTTGGATCTTTCTGTTTCTATAGATATTATTGATTTTTGAGTTGCGATTTTTGAGAGATGGGGAAAATGTAAGGGTTTTTATACTCCATCTGTAAATACGTAGTTACTTGTAATCGTAGATATGAAATGACTAGAATCCACCAGAAGAAAAGTGAAATGAATAATATTTTCACAATCTCAACAAAACAACTGCGTAATAATATACTTTTTATTTGAATAATTTGCTATTAGATCTTTGATTTTATTCTAACAATCATAACTATAACCAAAAATAGATAATCACAGAATCAGGACCAAAATGTTTAGGCATATACAATGTATATTACGTATCACAAACTTGAAAATATATTACATAAATCCATATATCAATCTGCACATGACATCACTCTCCTGAGACTCATTATAACGTGATGTAATTTGTTTCACTTTGTGATATGATCAGATGTGTTAATGTATGTCAGAGATATACTTGAATAAATAGTTTGAGAATGAGATGCTCTTCGAGTATTTAGACTAAAATTGAATCATATATTCTAGAGTATATAGTTATTAGTGAAACTAGCAAGACTAAATCAAATAGGTAGATCTAGCCACGAAGTGACTGCTTTCAGCAAATATCCTAATCAATAAATAAATATGTCTGGTTTTGATATCACTACTATTATTGATAAAAAAGATAAAATACTTTCTAAACCATATATCAATCATCCTGGTTTTGATATGAAGTATGTTGTATCATATATATCACATTATGGTGAAACTTATGCTAATAAACTCAATCAAATTTTCGATAATGAGAGATTATTTGACACTTTATCTATCATAAAACAGAATGAAATACCAGTTCAATGGGCAATACGAGTAAGAATTCCATTACAAGATTTATTAACCGCTGGAAAATTTAGTGTATATCATTAATATTATTTATTTATGTCATTTGGTAAAGGTAAATTTGTCAATTTCAATTATTATAGACCAAGAATTCACAAAAGTCATATGGCGATTTGCTTTGATTGCTGGAAATTCATAAAAATTGATGATGTAAATCCTAAAAAATTATTCCATTTTACTAGACAGAGGTATGTTGATTGTCTCGAACCTAAAGATCTGATGCAAGAACATTGGGATACGAATGTAATAAATCAAAGACTGATTTTGGAAAAGCAAGAATTATACAAAGAGCTTGGAAAAACTACAAATAGAGGTCTGAATCATTAGCAATCCAAGCTTGAAATTCTCTAAAGACAGATAATTATCCCAATGATAAGAAGTTTTTAGGTATAACTCCTCAAAAAGTAAATCGTTCTGATGGTTATGGTTACATTAACTATAATGGAAAATGATTATGTTGGCATTTCAAAAGTCCTAAATTGTGAGCAGAATCCAAGAAAAGTCTTTTAACTTATAGAATATACGACTATATAGTAAATTTATTGTAACAGAATGGATACAGATTAATTGGTGATAGGCCTTGGTATGTGATATTATGATGGGTGGAGAATCCTAATCAATATCTTAATAATAGCTGTCAAGACTTTGCCAGAATATAACTTATTCATATATATCTATTTAAAATAAGCCACCTAAAATATTCCTGAGGGCTAGTACTTTAGAATTTGTTTCATTATCCCCAAGGACTGATAACATTTTTTACTTTAATTTTTTTCATATTAACCTATTTTATGGGACACAAAAATCTCTAGTATAGATAATAGATCATGCTTACTATTGTTTCTCATTCATCTTAATTTCAACACTAGGCTGGATACATGCATCTTCTCAATTATATAAGAAGTGGCGAATAGGATGTACTTATATTGTTGTATTAATAAATAACCGAAAAAATAATTATTTGATTATTATGCTTTATTTTATCCAATTTCAAAGTATTATATCTTCTGAAATCTTGCCCTGGTTAGGCAGAATATTTATTATTTTTTAATCTCTCAATCTCCTTTTCTAGATCAAGAGAGGTGTCCTATCGAAGTGAGAAAGATTCAGATCTGGGTTTATTCAGATCTATAATTATAAACTCTTTTTACCTTAAATAACTGTCAATAATTTTTGAAGCTTTTCTTGGATCTACATCAGTGTAAGAACTTATAATATCTGCAAGTTTTTGAATAAAATCTCCACCATTAAAGAGAACAATGTAAGTAGCATTTTCACGAATATCTATTGGGATTTTGTGGAATTTCTGAGTAACATAAATTGAGGAAATATTCTCATGATGACCTCAAGTGAAAAATGGAATAATTTTTTTCTGTATAGCTGGAGGGTCAGAGTAAAGATCTTCAAATATCGCTAATATACTTCTTTTAGCATTAAACTTTTTGGAATCTGGAATTTTATCAGGAGATAGTGTAGAAAATGTGACATCTTTATAATAGGACTTTGATTTATCTTGGGCAAGATATTTATAAAAATCTCGAACTATTTTATATTTTGGCTCATTTAAATGATGTTTGAAAAGAAATACATCATCACATTTAACATTGCATTTCCCTATCTTAGAATGCTTTTTCTTCTTAAACATGTAATAAAATTTGAGCATTGTTAGTAAGTTTAAATTCATATTGGTCTTATCTGAATTGCTAGTCCCTGCCATCATAATACAAAAAGACCATGCTGATACATCTTTATCTCTCTGATATTTTTTTGAAGATTTTACCTTATCCACGGCAAATACACAATATAACATCTTTTTGTTATAAATATATATTATATTTTTTTATTCTGACGAATAATCTGATTTTAACACATTATTTATATCTATATTTTGTAGATAACCTTTCTCTTGCAATTTGCATTTTATGTATAGGAATAAATCAGCACTATACGGTATTTCAATAAGATCTATATCTCACTCTTTGCATATTTCTCACTTTTTTTGGTCATGTTTTCTTTGATTATCTAGATCATCTTGATTTTTGTGATATAAACTATTGCGATAGTAGTATTGAACTCTCTGAAATTCATATGCTAATTTTAGCTCTTCATTATATCCATCTAATTACATCCCATTCAAAAACGATGGTTTACAAGATAGAAATTTCTTACCTAACAGATTTTCAAAAATATATCTATAGCGATGCTCATCAGTGTGATGGAAGCAAAGTGGACACCATTCAAATTTTGTAGCTATTAATAGATATGGATATTCCCACTGATACTTTCTGTTTTCACAAGACCAGAGATATACATCAAAATCATTTATTTGACCAGTTTTACCAAGACATTTTCCATTACGCTTTTTTGTATATTCTTCAGCCTTAACCACTTTATTAATAATACGAATGAAATTAACAGACCTGGAATGAGTATTTTCTTCCAATATACTCTGGGGTGAATACTGAAGTGTATTAATATTTACATGCATGAGTTCCTCAAGTACAAACCTACGTGTAGATATGAATTCTTCATCTAAATAATATAATACTGGCTCATTCCTTGTTATTACAATTTTTCAGATTTTATATAAAGAAGGGCTCTAAATTTTATCAGTTGCATGCCTTTGATTTTCCATATCTCCTTCCCATTTTGCATTAGCGAGTAAGTAACAAATGGTATCCTCCTTTTTTAATTTTTCTTCATCTTTACCAACTGAACGTTTGTATTTTGTAGATGGTCTAGATTCTATCCTATCTAATCTAATTGCTTTTATAGGCGCTAACCTCCATTTCTTTGAGCCTAGTGCTCATATAAGTCATGTTGGATAATTATTCAGATATTCAAGAACTTTTGGTAAATGCTTAACCCATGCCCTTATTAATTTAGGATTCCTAGATATAATTTCAACAGTGAATTGAACTTTGTACAGCATCTCTGCTAATATCTTATTAAATCATTCTACAAGAGCTAATCCATGATGATTATAAGCACCAATTACTCGAATTGTGACATTATGCGCTTCCATTAATTAAGCAGTTTCACCCATGAATTCTTTACCACCATCATATTGTAGAAGTGTCAGGTACGTAAGAGAATTATTTGAATTATCATAAATTTTCTTAAATGCTTTAGCAACTTCAGAACTATTTTTTGATGTTAGGGGAATGGCACATTTAAAATATGATACGATATCTATAACAGTAAGTACCCATTTGTATGTCTTTCTATTAACTATATCATTTGTAAGACGTAGCAAATTATACATATGCACATAATTCGGGTGACTAATTTTATCATAACTAATCTGTGGAGTATTTTTTGGTGGTGGAGCGTACTTTTGCCATTCATTCTGGTTATATAATCATTTACGAATTTTTTTATATGGGAAGTTATATCTTTTATTTTTGATAGTATTATACAGCTTTTGAGGGTTGGAATGGTAATCAGTAGGTTGGTAAAAAAGCAATTTACAAATTAAGTTTAACTCCTTGTCTGGATCAATTCTAATAATAGGCTTGCTCAATCTATACGAAACATGATCTAAGAATCTACTCATTTTTGATATTACTTGTTATAGCAAAGTCAAGAGATAAGATAAGAGACGAAGTTTCCTTTCTATGAAAGATATAATATGCCATAAAAAATAAAGACAGAGTCTTATTACTTCATAATAACTATGGTATTTCACTTGCAAGGCAAGAGCACTTACGTGCCTAGACTCCAATCTCCTAATCAAACAATTCATAGATCAGCTACAGATAAAAAACTCAAGCTAGAACAAATTAATCAAGAACTCCAGCAATTAGAGGTAGCCATCAACAAGTCAAATGAGAAATACATAAATGAGCTAGAGCGTAAATATACCCGGTGTGAGAATGAAATTCAATCTCTCAATAAAGAACTGGAATGGCTTGAAAATGCTTCAGAGGAAGAAAAAGCAGAGTTGAGATTGGAGATATCGTCTCTTAAAAGAAACTTATATCAAGCTAAAAAAGATATCCGAGATAAGATATCCTATATTGATAATATAGAGAAGC